AACAGCTATCTGACACATTTGCACTACCTAGGCAACATTTCTTCAGGTATCTACAGATTCGCAGTTTTGTTAATAATAGATTTCCTCAGTTTCCTAATCACCCAGCTGATTCGCCGCTAGACACACTCCTTAGGCCGTTACCTACTCTGAAGGGAATGATGACGTGTATTTACGCTCAGATTTACTCTCTTCGTTTGGTTACCCTGAACTCCATTAAATCTCTTTGAGAAACAGATCTTGGGGAGGAGATTTCAGAAGAACTTTGGGAAAAAGCCCTTGCTAATGTACACAAATCTTCTATTTGTGCTAGACATGGACTGATTCAGTGCAAAGTAGTACATCGCACACACTTCACCAAGCTTAGGCTCTCTAAAATATATAAGGAAGTGGACCCAACTTGTGACAGATGTAGACAAGCACCGGCGAGTCACGCACACATGTTCTGGTCTTGTCCGGTCTTACACTCTTATTGGACTGACATCTTTAGATCACTGTCAGAAATTACTGGAAAACCGGTCACTCCTAATGCCATGACTGCACTGTTTGGTGTAACCCCACCCACATGCCCACTCTCTTCTCTGGAGACAGCCTACATAGCCTTTGTTACCTTACTAGCCAGACGCCTGATATTGCTCATGTGGAAGTCTCCAACATCCCCTTCACACACCTCGTGGTTAAAAGAAGTCCTAAATTCAGCCAAACTCGAGAAAATAAGGTGCATAGTGAGGGGCTCCTTGGGGAAATTCCACAAGATGTGGAACCCCTTCTACAAGTATATACGGGAGCTAGACATGCCGGATGTCTCTGTACAATAGGGTGATGGACCTGCGGTGTTAAACTGTGATTAGCAGGCGGCTGACTGACCAACAAGTGCTGTGTTTTTATTTTATTTGATATACTTGGTCTTTTTGTTCCATTTATACACATTATTTGATCTCTAAATTGCATTATGGTATTAATAATGGACTTAGACTCAGAGCCTTTAGATCCTGACTTTGTTTTTGTTTGTTTTTTGTTTTTGTCCTGTCGCAGTCCATTTTTTGTTTTGTTTTATTCATTTATTTTTTGTTTTGTCTCTGTTTTTTATCCTGTCGGACACAAATCACACTGTTGTCATCCTAACTTGTTTGCCAACTGCTATTGTGTTGTCTGTCTGGCTGTTTGTTGAAATTTTTTTTTTAAAAAAAGCTGCAACTCAAAGCTAGCATAGCTAGTTACTGGGTGAAGCAAACGGCATTGGAGATTAGCTCTAAACACTGAAGCTATACCCCCACTACGGCCGGTGGTACGGGGGGAGCTGAAGAAAGTACAGCCGGGAGGAAGAAGTTCAGAAAACGGTACATACTCGCCGGTGTGGACCCAGGTCTCTGTCAGGAACATTTAATCCAGATCATGAGAGGTGAAGAAGTCGTTTAACAGGAACGTCTTGTTTGCTATTGACCTAGCATTTAGCAAAGCCATGCAGAGTTTTCTCTCCGGGCTGGCCGAAGGTGTAGTGCGTCTCAGCTGACGAAGATGTGCGTGTTGAACGCCGCGCGGACCGGGAGCAGTCAGTCGGGCAGGAGGAGCTGCCAGCGGGCCCAGCAGAGGCCGCAGCTCCGGAAAGACAGGGCAAATCCACCGAACCCTCGGATGGCGTGCAGCGGGAGGGCCATGACATCTGATTCACTGCCATAGAGGAGAACAGACTCTACCGTTGCATAGAAGAAGCTGAGTTTGATTTGACGGGGGAGGTTGGAGTTCCATACACTGGTCATGCCGTTCAGGGCCCTCCATGCAAGTGCCTTCCTCACCTTAAGATCTTGCTCGGTTGAGTTGACCCATGAGCCCAGGTACTTGAAGTCCTTGACTTCTTTAAGCACAGTGCCTTCTGTTGTTGTCAGAGGTGGATGTTCTGGTAAGATGTTATAGGTGATAATCTCAGTTTTCTTGGTGTTTAGCCTAAGGCCAACCTTGGCACACTCTGACTCCACTCTGTTCAGGAGTTCCTGTGCTTGCTCCACGCTGTCGGAGAGCAGGCTGATGTCATCCGCATAGTCCAGGTCTGTCAGGACTACTGTGGGGTGTCGTCTCGACCTCCTTGGTGTTAGAGTGAAGCCAAGATCCTGCTCTCGTCCACTGATGGTCTTCCTGAGCGCATAATCCAAGACCATGATGAAGAGGAAGGGGGCCAGGGTGTCCCCTTGCATTACCCCAGCCAGGATGTCAAACTCCTCGCTGTTGCCGTCTGGGGTCGCCACCCTGGCCCTTGTTCCTGCGTACATGGTCTCTATTGCCCGGAGTAGGTTGGGAGTTACCTACTGTAACTCCAGCTTCTATGAGTATTGGCGTAGCCCTCTAAGGCTATCGCTATTGGGTAATCCCCCTGCGCACCCGCGCAGCACTGAAACACTTGTAGTCCACGCCCACCCGCAAGGTGGGCCCCACCCTCGGGCTCCCTTTCGGTATAAATAGGAAGGAGGCCCGACAATCTGCTCCCACACAAAACAACTTTTCTTCAGCTATTCGTGGGGCCAGTGGGGCCCAGAACTTCGAGGGCTACGCCAATACTCATAGAAGCTGGAGTTACAGTAGGTAACTTCAGTTCTATTTCGTATATGGCTTTGCCCTCTAAGGCTATCGCTATTGGGTTAAGGGTGAAGCAAGATGTAGTCTGCGCCCCACTGGGTCCGCCCGGTACTAGAAGCACAGACACACCTGCTCAATAACAACCCATGCCTATTGTGCCATGCGAATAGCGCATCACCGTCCCTGGAATATAGCATAACATGAATATTCCCCATGAAGGGACGAAGGCTGGGAACAATACATACCTGCCGCTGTGAGAAAGTAGAGACGAAGGTCACACTTTTCCCAGCGACAAAAGAGGGGGAACAGCAGCTCCCTGCGTGCAGACAGGCAGGAGAGCGCACAGCTGGATCCCTGACATCACTCACTCTGACAAGACACTCCGTACAAAATGTGTCAGAGGAAAAAAGGATACATCCCTCTCATAAGAGGGAAAAGGGCCGCTCTCAGAGCTGTTGGCGTCTCTCCACTTGCGGCCTCTGCTGCCGCTGTGGCCGGTGTGGACACCGCGGCTGCTGCGGCTGCTGCGGGCGTAGGCTGGAGCCAGCTGACATGCTGGAGAATGTCGTCCGCCTGTTCCGCGGCCGTCTTCATGGACTCCACCATGGCGTGGAACTGGGGTCCGAACAGCCAGTCCGAGCTGATTGGAGCGTCCAGTAGCACTTTTCTGGCCGTCTCCGTAACAGACGCCTGCTGCAGCCAGAGATGGTGCTGGATCTGTGTCACCCATGCGGAAATCCTCACCTGGGAGACAGCGACGGACGCGCACAGAGTGAGCGCTGTGCTGGCCGCCTTGCTGATCTCCTCTACCTCGTCAGCGGCCAAGGTGGTGGACCGCTCTACCAGTGTCACAACCGAGTTGGAGAGCAGCGCGATGTTATTCGCCGCCGCCGATGCACACTGGTGCACCCGGTCGGCCTGGCGGGCGACATACTGGTCTCTGGGGGAGCTCAACGTAGGGCGCCGTCCGGCGATTATGTTGGCCTGTCTTACCCCAAAAAACGCCGTCAGGCCCGGCTCCAGAGAAGGGGTGGCTGGGAAACCAGCATCTGTGTACCCCTCCATCTTGGTGAGGGGAACAAATGTGGCCACCGGAGCCTTCAGGGTCCTCGGGTTCGCTGCCGCCCCCTCCTTGAACCTCCTGATGGCCGGGAAGCGTGGCCAGATCGGGTCACTCCTGACCGTCTGCACCGCGCAAAAACTCCGGTCATGTCGTCCGGAGCACACCTCTCCTGAGCTAGGGGAACGGGGAGATCTCTGCAGGCGGCCGCCTTGCGTATGATCTCCGGCAGTTCCCCTAGGATGCCACCTATCGCCGGTAGCGCTGTGGTGACGGAGAAGGGGAAAGCATGTTCGGCCACAAAGCTGGCACCCTGCTCCGACCCTGTCTCCCCCGTCCGGGGGAGAGGAGGGAGGGGAGAACCGAACAGTGAACCGTGGAGGGAGGCGGGGTAGGAGTCGTCCGACTCCTGCCCGGCACTCGGCCCCAGGGCCACTCGGCCCCCGTCCGTGGCCTCGTAAGCCTGGACGGGCCAATCGTCCTCCTCGGCCGCAGCAGCGAGAGCGTCCGCTCTCCACTTCCTGTCGCCCGAGGGGAGACGGGCGCAGTGTGTGCATGCTACCTGCTGGTTTAGAGCCGCGTACGCGTGCTCTCCCCAGGCAGGATTCGCATACTGTGTGCTGGTCATAACTCATTATGAACCCAGAGCCACATGAGGGACAATCTCTCACACAATTGTTACTCATGTTTACTCTGTAATTAAAGTGTCTCTTGTGCTTCAGTAACGAGGTGCTGAAGAAAATAGGGAGCAGATTGTCAGGCCTCCTTCCTATTTAGGGAGCCCGAGGGTGGGGCCCACCTTGGACTACAAGTGTTTCAGTGCTGCTTGGGTGCGCAGGGGGATTACCCAATAGCGATAGCCTTAGAGGGCGAAACCATATACGAAATAGAACACAGGGGCACCAGGTAAACACAATCAGGAAAACAGGTAGGAGGGAACACACAGACAGGAAATCAAAGGCAGATCTAAACAAGACAAAACACAACGCAGACAGATCGTGACAACTACATTATTCAAAAGTTTACAGTAACTTCTGATACACAGGGGAAATAAACGAGGCATCTATTTTCCTCTCTCTCTCTCCCCCCCCTCCTGACAGCCCGTCAGTATCAGGGTTAGTCCAAATGAATCCCTTGGAGGTTCTAGTGTTCATTACCGTTTTGTCTTCTCTTTGCAATGCTTAATCGATTTGAAACCAAGTCTAACGTAGCTTAAACTTAACGTTAGCTTTCGAGCTAACACAACACATGCACGCACCTTTCTCTGTGTTTTTTTTTGTAGTGACAAATGAAGTTGGATGTTGTGGTGGTCGTGTCACTGATCTTTATGCTGCAGACCCTGCATTCCGCTATTCTCTTCTTATTACCGTCATCGACAAAATAATCCTTGAATCCAAACTTGACTATTTTTGGAGTAAAGCTAACCGCTGCCATGTTAACTGACACTCCTGCCGTCTATTGGGTTGCCAGGTTTGCGCACATGTCGCTATAATCACCCAATCACATTTAGAAAAACTAAACGTAATATCTCACTACAAAAACAAACGCAAATATTTAATTTTAAAAAGTCAAGTCCTTTCAAGTCATCTGTCTCAAGCTTAAGTCAAGTCTCAAGTCATGAATACCAAGTCAAAGTCAAGTCAAGTCTTTTATCAATGTTAGTCAAGCAAGTCTCAAGTCCAAAAATATGCGACTCGAGTCCAACTCGAGTCAAGTCATGTGACTCGAGTCCCCACCTCTGCTACTTATTGTCTTGAGTCTATGCTGCATTTCCCTCTTAAATATGCAGTGCGTTTTCTTTTTAGTCGGCTGTGGTGGAAGCATATGCACGAGCAGCAGGAAAGATGCCATATCACTGTCCCACTCTGTAAGATAGGAAAAACATATCTTTCTACTGAAAAGTGCATTTCAAAGCAATCTAACCACCTCCATGGCTTATTAGACTATGAGCTCATACCTGGACCTTCCTCTGGTGATTCATCATGATAAGCACTCCTGGCCGACTTCAGCAAACTCTGGAGAACTGGGAAGCAAGGCTCTCTTCTTCTCTTGTGATCTTCCATTTTAGGATAAGGGCGACTTTTTAAGCAGTTTATCCGCCAGTTCTGGTCCAAAGAGGAAGAAAAAAACACACAAAAAAAGACATTTATTAATTTGACACTTTTGACAATCAAACACATGCCAAGCCTAAAGCAACAAACTGCAGTTAGAGAAAACTTTTTAAATACTTACCAGTCCTTTAGTGTCCAGCAGCCTTGGAAATACTGTGAGTACAGTGTGGGACTCTTCAGCATGTGGATAATCTACTGTCTAAATTCAAAGGTCTCCTTCATCTTCTGCAGGATGATTTCTCTCTTGATGCTGTGGTTCATCAGGTTTATGTTTTCCCTACAACAATCTTCATCAAGTTGACCACCAACCAGACGCTGCCCCCTCTCTTGTCTTGGGCCACCTCCTCCTGTCTGAGATGTTGGTTCTTTGGACCCATGTTTTGTCTTCCTTTGAAAGGTTTTTAGCCGCCATGCCAGAAAGCCAGAGCTACTTTTCTGTTATAGAATGTTCCTTAAAAAAAGGACAGAGGCATATTCTTAAACACAATTTAGTAAACCCCCTTTCAAATAGTGTTTGTTTTTCTACAATAAGTTGTCTATATTTATATAAATCAAATATAGACAGAACTTATATATCCTTTTTACAAACGTTTTTGTCTTGAGTCGTCAAGCAGCATTGTACATTTCAAAAATTAAAATGATCATTAACCAATGGTGAAATATTTCTTCTATTACACAATATTACTCATCTTTAAATGAAAACTAAAACCCGGGAAACCTACCCTTCAGATTCAGCCATGCTTGCTGTAAGAAAGTTCATCTGCCTCCTCCTGCTGTCACACAGCGTCCCTGTTCCTCTGTATTCTTCAAGGACTTCTGTCCCTCCTGGTTTGGTCTGCAGGACCTACTGTATCAGATGAATAAACAACATTCATTATCATAATATGATTAACCTACATCTCTTGCTGAAGCACTCAGCAGTGGGCACTTGGGCTATCTTGACGCTTCACTGTCCAAGACTGGGCATGGACCGAGGTGATGTGCCCGAAAGTAGAAAAATGCTTTTGTATCATTGTTGTTCAAATCTTAGAAGTCCATATTTATAATGACCTCCTACCACAATCATTCATTCAATTCAAACGCCAGTCCAAGTATAGTGGACTCCATATATAGTTCCAGTGCAGAAGACCCCATATATAGTTCCAGTGCAGAAGACCCAGGCCCGAATCCCGGTCAACACAATCTAAATAGAGAAATTATTTAAAAGTCGCCTATACTTGAGCTGCCGTTCTGCGGGTGAGCATATATTTAAAAAAATGTAATGTCTGTTATTACTGACGTCATATATATATATTTATATATTTTTTTTTTAATACATTAAAAAAAAAAAAATGTGTGAATGAATTAAAGAATAAATAAAAGCTGAAAGAAAAGACCACGAATGCATAAATTAAAGAAACATGATATCATACATTTCATAATACATTTTTGTTCACCTACATCTGTGTCTTTATGCTAATGAGGAAGTAGGTTGTAAATAAATGACTGATGAACAAATGAATGCATCTATCAGTATAAATCAGTAACATAATGCACTTTCTGAATATTTAGTATTTTTACTTTTGGTAAGTATATTTTGATACTTTAACATTGTTCTTTACATTTACCAAGTACAACTTGAGAAACTTTAGTGGTATGTTCTTGTGTTTTATTTATTAAATTCTGTTGAACATGTATAGGGTTTACTTGTGCAATTCATACCAGGACAACAAAATGAAACCGGCTCCACCTTCATCTCCAGTTGCCTAAATCTCCACTTTTTTTCAGGAGGCAGGGAGAAGTGCATGTTAGTCTGGGTGGCTACATGTTTCAACACATGAATGTTAGAGTTTGATAAAGCTTAAAGGATGTTTGCATTTCTGAATCTAACCCTACATCACACTTGGGAAAGAAAGTATAAAATATAGGCAGTGTATATATGACACCATACCTGCAACACATATAAATACACTTCATGCAGAGCCAGTGTTTTCATGTGTCCCCTATTAAAAAGTTACCAAGGCTACATGGTTGCAAAACAAATGGGGACAGCATTTAAATAAAGTTTTCACATTTTTAAAAAACCTACATCAAATCTGAAATGTAACACCCTGAGAGTTGAAATCAATACTTTGGCGGGGTTTGTATGGAAACCACTGGAAAAGTGTTAAAATAACACTTCTTAAAGTGTTAACATTATTGACTCTATGACAGTGTTAGAATATATGTCTTAGATAACCATTCTGCCCTCCAGTGGCTGTTCTTGAACCTGGAGACAGCAGCACATTTGAAGGCTTTAATACAGACATGTCGAGGAGGCTGGAATGGTTTAATGATCAACCAGCCCCATTGTAATATCAAATGGACTTTGATAGAATGATGTGTTTAGCAGACTTAACAACTAAGATATTATCCCAATTCTTTGAACAGTTTAAGATATTTTACATGTAATATCACGATGAGGCCAGGTGTCTTCAGAAGACTGGCAGCAGGTTCAGTTTGTACACGCCTTTACAACGACTTTGATGGTCATACGTATAACTTCTCATGGATTTAAGAGCTGTTGTGAAATAACACTGCTATGTGCAAATTACACTTTTTAATGAAATTAATTATTGTTGGCTGCTACTTCTATATTTTCACTCCTACTTATTTTTAACCATTGGTTAATACTTATTGCTATATTGCTCAGTTTGTTAGATATAATGTTGTATTTATTCAGAGTCGACTTAACTTTATTCAAATCTTCTTGTGTAGATACTGTATGAGAGATTGTGTTTATTTGTGAACCTGCTGTGTTGGCAGTGTCAGAGACATGGCTTAATGTCTGCATTGACAGAGAACTGGACTCCGCTCACCTGCCTGGTCACAACCTCAGGATGGAGGTGGGCTGTGATTTAAGGAGAGGCCTAACCTGCCAGCCGACCCCCGACGGGAGGGCTTGGACCTGGCATGGACTGAACTGTGGCTTTGCCAGATCAAACCCAGTATTATTGGCCCTCTGTTACATTCCAGATGTTTTACTTTTAGTGATGTATTGTACTAAGAGTAATCTACGCATGGAGAAGAAATGTATCATATTGGGCGAGTCCTATTAATTCGTATAGTATAATCATGCTTCTCTGAAGTGTTTGATTTGCAACTACTAACCCTCAGACCAGTGGCGTCACCTGGCCTGGGCATTCGGGGCTTTAGACACCAGACCAATCAGAGAGTTGCATGGAAATACAGTACAAGTACTTCTGGGTCTCTGTGTTTCATTCAAGCTTGGCTCTGTGTGTGTGTGGCAATAGCGCATTTAGTGTGATTGAGCGAGCGAGAAAGAGTGTTGCGGTAGAAAATTCCACTGTAGCGCCCGGTACCTTAATGGGAAACCCAACATGTTCGAGCACCCTTTATGAAACGTCAAGCTACCCCACAGCACCCCCACTGTGGGCTAAGCCCTGAATGTTTCCAGGGCCAGGAAACGCTCTTGCCTCAGATCTGATACTGTCCTCAGAGAGAGAGATCTCCCAATCAGGAACCCTTGAAATAACCTTAAGTGATCATAAAGTAAATTCTGTACTCATGTCAGAGTCACAGTTGGAGAGGGTAATGAGGTCCTTAATACTCTTTTTTATGTTGTCTGTTAACAGAATTAACAGCAACTTGCTGCTCAAAGTAGTGAAGCATTAGGGGTGTTGAAATTAATCATTTCTACAATGCATCGCGATGCGGACGTGGACGATTCTGCATCGATGCAATGACAGAACATAATCGATTATAACGGTAACGTTGCGTCCTGATTTTTCGGCCGCGGCTTTACAATACACTTTTTTTTTTTTAATATCAAATCGGTCAGTGAGAGATCAGGGAACAAACGTGAAAGTGGCACAGCGACACCAAACACGGAGCAGTCTGCTTTATCCACCAACACAAGAACACCAGTCCAGAACCAACAGCAGAAGGACCCGCTCTGAATCAGTCTGTGTCGCTGCGGCTCAGAGACACAGGGATTTCTGTTTTAAAAAAATACTTGCGTTACAATAGGGTTGGCGTCATGGGGGGTCATTCGCGGGCCATGCCCCCCCAAATGAGTCACTGTGCCCCCCCAACGCAGGGCGGGCAAGCCTTGCCACTTTTTTTTAATCCACCAATTTTTTGGTGGATTTAATTAAGTCTTGGATTGCAGAGTATGAATGTCCTCTTGCTATTTTCAGTTGATAAATATGTGTGTAAAGTTTGTGAAGGCAGTAGGAAAAAGGCTTCCACGATCACCGTCTCCTCTAGTGACGTGTCGGTTGCGAACGAGCCGGCATGAATGCAGTGACTGTTTTGCACATTGCAATACATTTATTTGTATTATGCTTTATTTATGATTAGAGACGGTTGGATGCTGCTGTTTTGAGCATTGCAATATATTTATATTCATTGTGTTATTTATTTATGATTATCTTTAGGCTCAGCAAGATTTGATGTCAGTTGTTGCTGTCTTTTTTTTGGTTGTTTAATACTGAAATAGAGCCCTGCTGTTTTCTTTAAATACAATTTAAAAATCATTTATATTAAAAATGTAATTTTTACTTTTGAATACTTCATTACAAAAGATGTATTGAATAATTTAAGTGATATATGTGTACACATATAAGTCATTTGTCAAAAAAGTGCTGATTTGGATTGATGAAAAAGAAGCCATGTGCAGTAATATAGAAAATTGAGGATGCAACACATTGGTATGAATCGTGATGCATCGTCATATCGAATCGGATGTATATGCATGTCACAAATAAGATGTATTACATGTCATTAAAGTAGTTGTTGTTAGAGATATTACAAAGCACATGTTCAGTCTGCAGACCACAAGATGGCAGCAGAGCTCTTTTTATTTGTATCTGTGTGAATCTGGTGTGAATTTATTACAAGGAATCCTACATTATGGTTTTAACTATGCAATAAAGCTAAAGTTTTAAAAGCAAGCACTTAAAATATGCACAAAATATTTCAAGATTGATTGCTGTCAAAGTTGTATCAACAGCTGTCTGTCAGAATAATGTAAGTCAGTAAAATATACATGCCTCTGAGATGTAACGAAGTAGAAGTATAAAGTAGCAAAAAGGTAATGTACCTCAGTCTAAATGAACTTTAAATAAAGTGCTTGAGTTAAAATAGTTACTTGACACCACTGTCTATGGACACCATTATCACACAAAGCAACAGAAATGGAGGAACAAATACAAGAAAATAAAAATAAATGAATACATCTTAGAAAAACATTTTAAACTTGTCATTAGTTTTTTAAAGTCACAATAGTATCTCTGCTATCACTGTAATATTCTGACAGAAGACAGGGAAAAGGAATACATGCAGTAAGTGAAAATAAGAAAGACAAAAATACAGACAATGAAGATTTGTTTTTTGATGCAGTGACTCAGGGAAGTAATGTTCACGTTAAGGAGCAAGCATTTGCAGACACACAAGTTGGTCCAAACAGATCTGCAGTCAGCTTTAAGTTAGACACTGGAGCCTCAGCTAATGTCATTCCCACACGTGTGTTCAGAAGATTTGGAATACAGCATACAGTGCAGCCATCAACTCGCCCACTTTATGGATATGGTGGTGGGCAGCTTGTTGTTAGAGGCTAATGCTCAAGCTACATGTCGTTGACACACAGGCACCCCCAGTGTTAGGATTAAAAGCATGTCTTGATTTTGGACTTATTAAACTCATATTATCCATAACTGGCACATCAGAGTTACCGATTATGGATGAGTTTGCAGATATTTTTAAAGGAATAGGACTGTTTCCTGGTGAGTGCACTGTTCACATCCTGTAGACCCCAAGGCAGTACCTTTAATCAACCCACCAAGA